GGCTAAATATCACAGAAGTTAACACATTTGTGATGATCGGAACTAAATTTATCCTCCGGTGGTTTGCGCAGTCATTGTGTAATCTTTTCTTAAAGATCAAAACGATCAACAATTCAGTCCAGGATAGAGAGATACGCTCCTCCGAACAAATGCTGCAAAGAAGGCCAGTTCAGTTTGTACAACCATTAACCATGCACTATCGTGCGCCGGTTTTGGTTGATGTCCTTTGACTGCCCATTTGGATAAAAATTAGGAGAAAGACAGGAGAAGTTGAAATTAGGAGCAAAGAGAAACCTAGTCGAAGAGAGATGCACCACCCAGCTTGAAAAGAATGGTGAGAAGCTCAACAGATCAGCCCCACTGCCTTTTGAGTCGAAAGTTCCAGCTAGGGTTCCCGAAGAAAAACCTTGTTGGTGTGGGCTACCGCTGAGTATGGACAACGGACATCGTGGTAGTCGCCGGGGACTTCAATGCTCAAGTGGGATCCCTGGACGGATCAGAAAGGATTTTTGGCGAATCGCACACAATCCCGGCCAACCGGACAACGGAGATCGCCTACTTCAAATCTGCGCGGACCATGGACTGTTTCTGTCAAACACGAACTTCTCGCATAAGAAACGACACCACCTTAAATGAAAACCAACAATCTCTTCACTGCGTTGGAACCAGATCGACCACATCGCCGTCAGTTACCGCTGGAGAGGGTCGATTAAAGACTGCCGTTCTCAATGGACAACGTTTATGGATACAAATCACACGTAGGGACTAGACAAATGCTCCTTAAGCCTGGCAAACAACCGCAGAAAGGCCACCGACAACAAATACCCACAAAACAGCGTCAGAGATTGCTGGAAATCGGCCTTCGAAGCGGAAATCTCCCGTCGCCAATCAGCTCAATCACCAGCCGAAGAACTCAAGGAACACAGGGAGCAAAGCAAGGAAGCTATACAAATATCGATGAAAGCGTCCGACCGCACCACAAGCTTAAAAAACAAAAGATGGATCTCGTCGACCTTGGTTGTCCTGCGGCAGACTCGCAGAAACCTCCCTCCCGATGCCAAATACGACACAGCACAAATACCCCAAACGCCATTTAATTAGGAGCCTGAGGAATGACTTCGAAGAGTAGTGGGTGGGAGTGAGCAAAGAGATTGAAAAAGCTGTCAGTCCTCCATCTTAAATGGAGGTTTCTCGGGAAATAAGCTATCTCAAAAGACATAAGGCCACCGGCCAAGACGGGTTGTCCCCATCGGTTTTTAAGGATAGAGGCTCAGCCTTAGTCTCAGAGGTAACAAAACTCCTGGGCTCAGTGTGGGAGAGGGAAGAGGTCCCAACCGAATAGTCCGAATCGGT